GAAAAGCTGTTTTAACATCTAGTTGCTCTAGATGTCAATGTAGCACACATTGCCAAAACTACTCGAACTGTTGTTAATCGAACCACAGGAGAAAATATTTCATTGAAATCAATACCTTCCTTTTGAGCATATTATTTGACCACCAGTCTTGCACGATACCTCTCAACTTGATCGTCACCATTTCGCTTGATTTTGAAGACCCATTTGTTACCAATTGGCTTCCTTCCTTGTGGTAGTGGCACAAGGTCCCATGTATTATTTTTATGAAGGGCTTCAATTTCTTCTTGCATCGCCATCATCCACAGTGAAGCATCTGAGTTGTTTATTGCCTCTTGGTATGTTGATGGCTCACCGTCCTCTGTTAAAAGGCAGTATGCAATATTACCTTCTATAACATAATCTGAGTGCCAATTGGGACGTCTTCTCACACGATCTGATTGACGAGTTGTTGGAGTTTCAGAACTCTCTGGTTCTTGTTCATCATGTGCTGGTTCTGCTTCAGAATAATCTCCTTGTTCAACCTCCTTTTCCACATATATCTGTGTAGTCTCTGACTTTTCAACGCTATCATCATCTTCTTTTCTTTGTAGTTTATCTTCTACAAAGATAACATCCTTGCTGATGATCACTTTGCGGGTAGTGGGATCCCACAAGTGATACCCCTTTACACTATCAGCATACCCCAAGAATTTGCATTTCCTGGATTTTGGATCCAACTTTGAAATTTCTTGGGCGTTGTACATCACGTACACAATACTTCCAAATACATGGAGGTTTGAATAATCAACTGGTTTACCAGTCCACATCTCCATTGGTATCTTCAGCTCTATTGCAGTTGATGGAGCTCGATTCACCAAATAACAGACGGTATTGACTGCTTCTGCCCAGAATGATTTTTCTAGGCCTTCGTCCCTCAACATTGCTCTTATTTTTTCTAACAAGGTTCTGTTCATCCGCTCTGCCACTATATTTTGTTGAGGAGTGTTCGCCACTGTGAACTGTCTTTTGATGCCTTCTTTCTTGCAAAAGTCATCAAATTCTTCGCTTATGTATTCTCCTCCATTATCTGTTCTGAAACACTTGATCTTATTTCCAGAATCGTTCCACCCGCGCTTTGAAGTTTTTGAAAGTTGAAAACACGTCTGACTTCTTCTTAATAGGGTACACCCAACATCTCTTGGAGTAGTCATCAATAAATGAGACAAAGTATTTTGCTCCGCCTAGGGATGTAACTGGTGCTTGCCATACGTCAGAGTGAACCAATTCTAGAACACTTTTGCCTCTAGAATTTAATGTGTTGGATTTCAACCGGTGCTGCTTACTTGTTATGCAATGCTCACACAAAGTAAGTGATATATTCGTTAAGCCTGGAAGTAGCTTTTGCTCCACAAGGACGTTCATTCCTTGTTCTGACATGTGTCTAAGTTTCTGATGCCATAGCATTGCAGAATCTGAACTACATGAGGCAACAAAGGCCTCTGCTTCTAGCAAAGTCTCTCCCTTCAGCATGTACAAGTTTGCTGCTATCTTTTCGCCTTTCAGCACCACAAGCGCTCCACGGAACACATTCATGATTCCTTTCCGTGTTTCAATCTTGCTAGCATTATTATCCAACAATCCGTAGGATAATAAATTTTTCTTCAGGCCTTTCACATGTCGTACATCTCGAACAACTTTAATTGTTCCATCATACATCTTCAATTTGATGGTTCCCACACCAATGATCTCTAAGGCATGATCATTGCAACTATACACAGATCCTCCTGAGACAGGTTCATAATGATGGAACCATTCTCTTCTTGAGGTCATGTGATATGTTGCTCCCGAATCAATGAGCCATATATCTGCAAATCGTTTTCTACCTTCCACGGTGGTTGACACTTCACAGCATAGAGCATCTCCATCATCTGAAATGTTTGCGGTATTGCCTTGTGGATTGGAGTTTTTATTTAGCTCCAACAATCCTTCTTCAAGTGACCCTTATTTCCACAGTGGTAGCACTTTAAATTATTTTTGCTTCTTGACTTCGATCTATCATGTTTGTGATTACTGCTTTGGCCACGTTTTGTTGATCTCCCTCTCATCGTTGTCAAAGCTTCTGCTTGTCGTAGATTTACTTGTCTGTCTTCCTTGTTCTTGCGCTGATTTTCTTCTTGTAGAACAGCAGCTGCAACGTCATCGAAGACTAGACTGGTGATATTATTATTTGTCAAGTTGATGATGAGTTGATCATACGAATCTGGTAGACTTTGAAGTAGAAGTTCAGCACGTTCTTATTCTCCTATTTTACAGCTTAAGGATGTAAGTTGAGAAAATAAAGTGTTCAGCATGTTTAAGTGCTCCGTCACTGAAGTAGATTCTGGCATCCGGAGAGTGTACAATTTCCTCTTAAGGAAAATTTTATTGTGCAGCGATGTGGCCTCATACAATTTGGTGAGATGATCACATATCTCCTTAGCTGTTTTCTTCTCCTCGATGCTTGACAATACTTCATCTGCTAATGCTAGATGAAAGTTTGCCATAGCATTCACGTCCATTTCGATCCATTTGTTGTCATCTGTGAAATCCACCGGCCTTTCACTGATAGCTGCTAGATAACCGTCTTTCCTCAGGATGGCCTTCATCTTCAATTTCCACAATGAGAAATTTCTCCCATTGAATTTTTCAATATCAAATTTCGTTGCCATGGCTTCTTTTACGGATAGCTCCCACTATTTCACTATCGTGAATAGTTCTCTGGAACCTTCAAAGAATGGGTAATAACTTCTTATTTTCTTATGTTGGAGGATCTACCTTTTGGTGGCAACCACAAAGACAATAAGCAGATATTACACACTCTAATCTAGCTCTGATACCAATTGTTGCGGAAGACGGCTATCAGGATAGAGCAAAATCGCAACTGATAATTTGAGAAAATAAAAATGAAGATAAAAGATACATAAATTTTACGTGGAAAACCCCTAAAAATTTAGGGTAAAAACCACGGGCAACGGTAGAATAATTTCACTATGAGAAAATAGGAATTACAACCTCTCTCGATCTACCAAGGAGAAAACAATGATAATTCTCTCTGGATAAAAAAGGAGAAAACAACTCTCAAGAAACTCTCTAAATTCTCTCTAGTATTGGAAGAAAGCTAGAATGCTTTGGGATGGTTTTGAAGCTAAATGAGATAGGGTATTTATAACTAAATCTTAAGGACTTAATCTTGTAAATACCCTAAATTTTAGTGACTAGAGTTTGTAATTTGACCATATAAAAATAAAAAAAATTATGCACCTAATTTTCGGTGCCAACCCTTTTATTATTTTTGACTTTCTACCTATGGCTCGAGATTGATCAGTGTAATTTTCTGTAGGACTCTGGTTGCTTCTATGTTCCAGCTGAGGTGTATGATGAATCAGTCATTGAACAAATACCAATACTCGAAAACTATAACGCCAAAACAAAATCATCTGCTATGTTGCTCCAACCTCGATGTATTTTCAGATGGTTTTATGGAAATATAACCTCTATGTCGGACACATACTCATATCCGATACTCAATCTTGATGGTATCAATTTTGATGGTGCACTGCTCCATCCTTGATATTTTCCTTCATACTTGTTTACTTTTTCTTGTAAAAACTGAATGTACTCAACCTGTGGAAAGATTTAACAAACATGGTTTTAAAACTTCGAAACTGAAGATCGAGAAAACAACAACTATTACAAGGGATCTATGTACCTCTAATAAGAATGAGGCTTTATCTCTCTTTTGATCACTATTTGGAATGACATTTCTCAACATCTGAAATCTGCAGAAGAGTAGCAAATTTTTAGCATGTAATGGTGATATTTGTAATCTCAAAATCCAAAAATGTGAAGCCGGTAAGCCGGTTAGTGTTATGCTTTGCCTATTGTTAATTTTACTCCTCCGAGTTGCTCGGTAGCAGAATGTTTTGACCTCGGCGTGTTGGCCTTCTGATCGGGTGCACTCTTTCTATCCACTTTCACTCTCAATTCTCCTGTGAAAGTAAAAATTATTAGGAGATCTAATTACCGTTAGGAAAAACACATTGCATTTTTTTTTATATATGTTCACTATGATTAACATGTTGGTGAACATATTCGTGAAGAACATTTTATGAATGCTAAATAAACCAAATACGTTAAAAAATAAATAAACGAACACCTATACAATCTCGCTTCATTTATATCCGTAATTACTTAGATCTAAAAATAAGTGATGGATACATGAATGTTTTCGATATAGATATACAGGGGAGGGTGTCTGATTACCTATATTATGGGTGGAGGTAGAACTCTCTTGAGAATAAAATGTTCATCTTCTTCAAAATCATCATCAAGCGAGCTACCCTTTCCTGATTTTATCATTTCCACGAAGCTTTGCCTTTTCTGCTTAGATGACTATCTGTTAATAAGATCCCAAATACAGTAATTTATAACCCAGAAATAAGGATAAATAATTATTATTAAAGATTATTAATCTATCAAGTATTAATGTATAGAGTAAAAAATGATTATAAGAAAATATAATTTCAAACAAAATATTTATTCAATTTTTTTTACGTATGACAATAAATCTTGTGTTGAAAGATTATTTGATATTATTAAAAGATGTATCACAAAATATAACTAATTAATGCATAACTAGATTAATTATATGCTTATTTAACGCACGAGAAATAATTCCAGTGATTAAAAGATAATTATTATTCTTAAATGTCTCAGGTTTGAGTATTAGAACTGCAAAGGTATATAAGCACTAAACCCTAGATTAATAAAAAATTATTTGTTTAACTAGTTATGATGTTTAAGTTACGATTTGCAGATTAAATTGAATGAGCCATTCTTATATATATGAATGATCTTAATTAATTGATAATAACTTAAATATAAATATTATAACAAAAAGAAATATATTGCATCAACTAAGTTTAGTTCGTCACTACTCAATCAAATATGAAAGAAATATGTACACAACTTTAAGACCCCCACCTACCATGATGATCATGTTATAATGTAATTTCCCTCTTCTCACCTAAACTAGCCCAAACCGGTAGTAAAATTATAACCCAAGCTTCCAGTTTCTCCCCAACAAAGCAATCCTTGAACAGAAACTCAGATTTTCCATGGCAGAACTATCAAACTCTAAGCAAATAAACACTAAGTTCAGGAGCACCATTGCTGTCGGGATTCATCATGTAAAAAGCTTCAGAATCTCTCGTCCCCACGATTCTCTCGAACGTAGCTCTCATGTACATAAGTTCACCACCTTCGGCTTCGGTCAACGGCAGAACTCCTGCTCCCATGGAGATTGGTTCCACGGTTTTCAGAACGGAACATTCATTAGCTCCGCAGTCTCTTCTTGTTGCGAACCCACATTTCTTTCCGTTACAGTAAGTTCTCCAAACGGTTTCCTCGAGTAATCTCACATAACGATCTCCTTCTCTGCGTTTATCGCACTCGAGGGCGATCCTGACCAGCCCAGACGCCATTTCTCGAACCAGACCGCTTATCGGCGTGGCGAGTTCGACGAGGAAAGCCGGTGGAGAATTGGGTTCTTTCTGCAAAGCGAAATGAACGTGTCCACGCCTGTAACCGAAAAGAGTGCCGACTACTCGTGACCCAAGGCCGAACAGCAGCACCGAACGGCTCTTCCGAAAATCCGAAACGACGCATCGAAGCCTGGCGATGGAAACCGAGGCGGCTGCAGAAAGCTTCTTCTTCCGCGGTGTCGGCAGAGAAATTGCATGGGTTTTAAGAGCTGTTCTTCTTCCATTGGTCTGTTCTTCATCGGATTTGAAAGACCGTGCTTGGTTTTCTTCGGTTCCGACTTTTATGGTCCAACGGGAGTTTCTTTTGGAGGTGTCTTGAGAGGTTCTTCTTGTTGCCATAACTGAGTTCAAGATATGAAAAGGAGAAGAACAAAAGAGCGAGTGTGAAGAACAGAGAGAGAGATTCAAGCTTTTATTTGTGCTTTGGATTACATTCATTTGTGGGGTCTTGTTGCTATTTAATTCTTTGTTTCTGGTTCTTTGGTTTAGTGAAGAAGAATCCTGAAAAACAAAAAACAACATTAAATCTGACCCCACACAGCCGATTTAGGAAGTGAAATTAACGTTTTTTTAATATAATTTTAATTATATTTAAATATTTATCCTAAATATTAATTCATATAATTCTACCTAATTGGCTAATTCTCTACTGTATTTCAGTCTGAAATACAGTGGCACATTTTAGAAAATAATTTCCGCACACGAACAATCAATTTTCTTGAGAAAAACATTTTAGACTCAACTCGTCAATGCAACTCAGTTTATATCTATACATATAATATTATTTAACCTATAAATTATCTAACTTAGAACAAATCATAGCTTATTTTACATGACTTGAGAGCTTTGAATAGGCTCTCATTAGTTTGTTTAGGTGATTAAGGGTTGTTTCATAATGATTAAGCGTTGAATGATTCATATGCTCTGTATGAATTAACTCTGAATGTGACATGCTATTTGATAATGACTCTGAATCATTCAGAATGTACTTCTGTGCTGAATCATTCAACATTGTTTTGTTGAATCAGTCAGCACTGAATCATTCAGATGTGAGAAACAAACGCGTTGAATACTGAACGGTTCAACATTCATCGATGAATTGGTTCATTCAGAGCCAAACAAACAACCCCTAAGATGTGGTAATAGCTAATAAAAATGTGGATCAAATGATTGATACACATCTTTTAGTGGCGGATCATGTGCCCTAATCCTACGAGCTATCATCATAATTATCTCACATACACTAAATCTACTCTAGAATATTATTAAATTTTTCAAAAAAAGTAAAAATTTATTATTATTCTTTAAATATATTTTTATACAATCAACCTTACTTTTTCTTTTATATTCCAATCAACCTTATTTGTTGAAAATTTATCATATAATGTAAAATTCGAAATAAATTTAAAATGATTGTAACATCATAAAATATTAAATTAAATCGAGATCAAATAAAAATATAAAAAATTTAAATCAAATTGGAACATTGGACTCTGGCGGACCCATATTTATCCCTAACCATACATACAAAGATAAATCCGTTGAAAATTGCAGGGTCTGATTCTGAAAAAAGGTACAAGATGTCCCAAGTTCTCCCAATCATTGCTTTTGTGTGCACCAATTTCGTGGGGATTGTTGCCTATAAAATTTTATATTTAAACCCTAATCATACAAGTCATAAAAAAAGCAAAATATTTTAAAACAATAAAAGTTCCAATTCCTGACCCAAGAATGACCTTTTCGACTATATCTTGACTGCTGCTCACTTTAGATTTTCTGCCTCATTTTGTTAAATTTGAAAACGTATGTATCAAACATTTTATTTTAGATTAATTGCTTAAGAAATTAAATATTAATAAATTTATTTAAAAGAGAAAAAAAAAGGTTAAGTTGTCCCAGTGCACCCTGGTAGTAGCCACCTTTCCTAGTTCCATGGCTTTCGTACCCTCTCACAGTCACAGTAAAGAAAAAGTTAAAAACAAACATTCAGTAGGCCCTAGGGGCATTCTTTCAGTGGGATGCAGCGGCCAAAACCTAAAACTAAACAAATATTATGATATAAAGTATAACGCGATATAAAAAATACACACAAAAAGTAATATAAATATACATTGAAATACGTTCGTAAATATTATGATATAATATAAATATGATTATAAAATAAAAAATATTCATGAATACAACACAAGCACAAGGATTTAAATCAAGTTAGAGGTTTGGTGATAAGAAAAAGAGCATGAATATACACAGAAATCGATGTGTTCTTTTATCATCTACACATCATTGTTGAAATAGTTAGGGCACTTAGCTTTGTTAACTTTACATCATTATCATATATATTCCACTGAAGTGCAGTTTGTTATTCTAGCTAGTAGCTCCCGTTGCCCATTCTATGTGGAACTTGTGGTTACATAGATTATAACCAACTTGTTCTTTACTTTGCTCCATCTCGAATGCCTAGTTTTCTATTATTATATAGGCTTTCGTATCCATAATTCCAGTAGCAGTTGAGTTTTTTTTTATTGGTTAGGCCTGACGCATACGTGATATTATATATAGAGAGAGAGAGACAAGACTCCCAAAAAAAAAATTTCGGCTTACCCCCTTCAAAGTAGAGTGTTAAGACCCGCCACTGCTCCGGTGGCTTGGTCATCATGCTATTCGGCAGAATGGCCGGTGGCCCAAACACGTTGACGACCATTTTCTGCACCTTTCAAACAGTGCCCTGTATAATATTAAATTGCGATAGAGTATAATGACCGAATCATAACGTTTTTCAAGATCACCACGACACCGTAACCCTAACCGTAATATAACAACATAATTATTTTTAGGAAACAAATTATGCCCTAAAGTCAATAATCACAATCACAATTTAGTACTACAGGGCCCACTAATGAAATAGAGCAAACCAGGTCGACCAAACTTGTAAAGCGTGTCGCTTGTTGGAGAAGAGTTGAGGATGTGAGGTCTGGCAGTTTTCATATTCGTCCTCGTGTCACCACGAACTCCAAGTCTTTCTTGTACTGAAACACAATTTGGAAAACAGCTTCAAAGCTGTGAATAACGGATGCAAATTTAAAAAAAAGAATATGATAAACTTTAAACATAGAAAAGGAAATTCCCCATGCATACAAGGAAATTCCCCTGAAAAGTCCAATAATTGTTCCAATATGAACTCTAATATTTCAAATAATAATAATATAAAAAGACAATTCCTTATTTTAGTCGCAAAACATTACAGTTGACCGATGATGAAGGACCGACGAAGGATTTTGTCGAGCTGATAAAGGTTGTTGAATGCCGATGATCGGTAGTTTTGGTGGGGATGGAGGTGTACTCCGGTGTGAACTTGAGTAAGTCGTTGATGAAAAGGAGGAGAAGCAATAGAACCAAAGGAGTGTTGATAGGGACCGATGTATATAGAGAGAGAAGGGCTCGTGCCCCTTCTAAAATTTTTGATCTAATAACATTTTAGGTCCTTATTAATTTAAACTTAAGTAAAATTTGACTTTTTTCCCTCCAAGACTAAATACATACTAACCGAGATCAAAGTACCTAATTTATTTTACCAGAAGTCTTTGAAAATGGTAGCTTACTGATTGCTGAAATATTACAATTATAATTGCTTCACTCATCCCTGCCAACTCTTACAATGGACTATTTTATAAATTTGGTCGTTCATTTGCGTTTAATTGCATCTATTTATGAATTCAGAGCGACTGTAACACATGTATTGAAAGGCTTCCACTGCATTGCAATACCACTTAATGCTTCATCAATCATTTCAACTAAGCTTAAGATATAGTACCATAGGAGTATTTGCAGGAGTTAAATATGCGATTTCAGTATTCTGTAGCAGCTAAGCTATGTACAAGAACGTGAGTGTAAATTAACAGATCATTTAGTGAACTGTACTTATAACGTTCGTTTATGTTCATTAGTTAAGTTAAATAAACGAGTATGAACAAAATTGTTTATGTTCATTTAATAAACGAATATGAATAAACATATGTTCGGTTCGTTTATATTCACGAAAGAGCTCATTTATGAGCTCGTTTATCGACTGGTTCATTTATGTTCATGAACAAGCTCGTTTACCCAATTCTCTTTTTCTTTTTTTATATTTTAAATATTGGTGAAGGTAGAGACTAATTGAACACAAGAGAAAAGTTGAAATTTAAATTGTGGATTTTAAGGATTTTAAGCACTAGTAGTGTAATTTTATCATTTTTCTTTAGCTTGCAAATGAAAGGAGAAAACAAAAAATTGAATATATAAAAGAACGATAAAAGAATAATAAACAAACTAATGAACACTAAACAAACGTTAAATGAACATGTTCGTGAATATTAAACGAACGTGTTCGCAAACAATAAATAAACGAACATGAATACTTCAAAAATAAATAAAAGAACATGATATTAAAATTTTAAACGAACACGAACATCTTAAAAAATAAACAAACAGATATGAACCAAACACAAACATAACCTTGTTAATTCAAACTCAGTTCATTTATGCCCCTATACAAGAATAACCCATGTGGAGTAGTTTGTACTTCAATGCCTAAGAAGTAGTCTTTCAACTTAATAAACCAGTTTGTGGGAGCTTGATGGAGCCCATATAGCCCCCTCTTCAGTTTGCAGATAAAAACTGACCCAATACGTGTTTTCTTAACAAAACCAACAGGCTGATGCATGAAGACACGTCTTCAAGGACATCACACTTGAGAAAAGCATTGTTGACATCTACTTGATACACCTGCCCTGCCATCCTCGTGTGATTGCCACAGAGAGCAAAATATTAATTGTAAATTAAGAACTTCCTCACTGGACTGAATGTTTCCATAAATTTATGGCCAGGTATGTGGGAGAAATCTTTGGCCACCAGACGAGCCTTGAACTCGTTCATAGACCCACCTTCATTATATTTAATTCGAAACAACCACTTATTAACAAGTGCTTTCCTTCCAGCAGGCAGTTCTAGCAGCTCTAATGTATCATTATCAAGTAAAGCAGTATATTTAGCCATCACAGCACTCATGAACAATGAAATACTGGTGGCATGGATAAGGGACTTGACATAAATGAATATGCATCACATCTTGCACCAGAAGCATTAGCAACAAATGGATACACATGTTCATTAAAGATAACATGCATGTCTAGAAATAAATATTCTACCAGAAGCGCTTAACCACGATGTTTAGGAAAATACCCTAAGAACACATAGGATCTTGATCAGAGAAGCATGTGCCAACATGGATAAGGCTATTTCAACCACATGCCTATGCTTACGTTCCACTACCCTATTCTGTTGCAAAGTATGGAGGCATGTCACTCTAACAAGTACACCAAGCTTGAGCCTTGAGTAGAGTATTTTCTAAGAATTTAA